GATAGGCCTACAAATGAAATAAATTGCTTTTTAGTTTTTCAGGTAGGTTTAACACACAGTAGGGCTATTAAGATATATATATTTTTTTACCAATTATCCAAATAATGTTTAATCCTAGAAAGCTATTATTATCAGAGGAAGCTCGATTTTTGAGTGGACTTTGCTGTTCCGATGAGCATGAACGGTATATGAGTGGAGCATGAACGGTATATTAGTGGAGCACTCACATGGGCCGTGAGCGACTGAGCGGAGCACACACGCATAGAGCAGGATAATACACGGAGCGTCACACCACGTGAAAGTGAATCCTGAGCGGTGGACTAATTTTCGGCAGCCGGAATTTCAGTGCATCTCTAATTATTGGCGACATCAGATATGGATATTATATAATAGCTGCTTTTTTGAACATTTTAGCAATTTAAAAATATTAAAAAATGATTTTTTACACGGCACCCCTGCTCTCTGATGGGCCAGGTCCATGAGGACAGGGAGGAACAGGGGACTAAGGCAGAGCCGGCAGAGCAGAGAGCCAAGGCGGAGCCGGAAGCCAGGGCAGAGCAGAAGCCCACCAGGGCGGAGTAGGCAGAGCTAATGGAGCTGAAGACCACCAGGGTGGAGCAGGCGGAGCTGAAGAGCCCAATGGTGGAGCAGATGGAGCAGAGGGCCACCAGGGTGGAGCTGAAGACCACCAGGGTGGAGCAGGCGGAGCTGAAGAGCCCAATGGTGGAGCAGATGGAGCAGAGGGCCACCAGGGTGGAGCTGAAGACCACCAAAGTGGAGCAGGCGGAGCTGAAGAACATCAGGGCAGAGCTGAAGAACACCAGGGGCGAAGCAGAAGACCACCAGGGTGGAACAGAAGACCAGCAGGGCGGAGCAGGAAGAGCTGAAGACCACCAGAGTGGAGCTGAAGACCACCAGGGTGGAGCAGGCAGAGCTGAAGATCACCACGGTGGAGCAGCCGGAGCCGAAGACCACCAGGATCGAGCTGAGGAGCACCAGGACAGAGCAGGTGGAACTGAAGAGCACCAGGGCGGAGCATAAGACCACCTCAGCAGAGCAGATGGGTCTGAAGATCCCCACGGTGGAGCAGATGACCACCAGAGTGGAGCGGAAGACCACCACAGCAGAGAAGAGAGAACCGAACATCCCAACAGTGGAGCAGATGAGCACCAGGGTGGAGCTGATTGGGCTGAAGACCACTTCAGTGGAGCTGATGGTGCAGGAGACCACCAAGGCGGATCAGGCAGAACTGGAACAAAGAGCACAGAGAGGTTAACAATGGCCTAGGTGGCAATAACAGGACCGGCAGACAGTTCAGAAATGGCATCTTTGGCCGTAACAGGGCGAGCAGAGAGTTTAGGGACAGCCCTTTTGACCGTGACGGGACAGGCAGAGAGTTCAAAGACAACCTCCTTGGTCACGACAGGACAGACTGAGAGTTCATAGACGGTCTCCTTGACCGTGACAGGACAGGCAGAGAGTTCACAGATGGCCTCCATAGCTGTGACAGGACAGGCAGATAGTTCACAGATGGTCTCCATAGCCATGACAGGACAGGCAGAGAGTTCACAGACGGCCTCCATAGCCAAGACAGAACAGCCAGAGAGTTCACAGGCGGCCTCCTTGGACATGAAAGGACAATAACAGGTTTCAGGAATGGCCTCCTTGGCTGTGGCTGGAGAGGCAAAGAGTTTATAAGTGAGTGTCAATGCCTTGAGGGGAGCTGAAACGGACACTGCCTCCACCTCTAGAGGTTCTGCAGCTAGTGCCGCCTCCTCTGGAGGAGCAGTAGTAACAGGAGTTTCAATAGACACAGAATGTTTTGAAACGGCACTTGCGGCTGTAACATAGGCATCAGGAAACAGGGAGAGTTCAAAGATGGTGTCCATGGTCGGAACAGAGGTAACAGGGAACACCAAGAGCTTGGGGATGAGTGCCGCTGCTGTCTCGGGAGGAGCTGAAGCAGACGTCACAACCATGAGAGGTTCTGCAATGGAAGTTGCCACCTCTGGGGGAGCTGGAGCGGACACGGGGACCGGAGCAAGCTCGGGAGTGGATTTGGGCACAGAAACAGACTTGGGAATGGATTTTAGAGAGCATTGAGGTTCTGAGTGCATAATGACCGGCAGACAAGACTGCATGGCGACTGCTGTGCTAGAGAGCGCAGAAACGGCATCACTTGAGTGCACTGAAACTGCAGTGCTTGAGAGCACTGAAACTACAGTGCTTGCGAGTGTTGAAACTGCATCGTTTGAGATCGTTGAAACTGCGTGGCTTGGGAGCGCTGAAACAGCGTGGCTTGGGAGCGCTGAAACAGCGTGGCTTGGGAGCGCTGAAACAGTGTGGCTTGGAAGAGCTGAAACTGCGTGGCTTGGGAGTGCTGAAACTGCATGGCTTGGGAGCACTGAAACTATGTAATTTGAGAGTGCTGAAACTGCGTGGCTTGGGAGAGCTGAAACTGCGTGGCTTGGGAGCGCTGAAACTGCGTCACTCGTGAGCGTAGCAACCCCTGGAATGCCAGCAGCTTGCCCCGACACCAGCTGTGGATCCTTCATGCTGGATGCCAGTTTCAAACGCCTTGGGACTGACATAGTGGTTATAGACGTGGTCGACATGACATGATGAGGTTCAGGTGTTGCGGCCATCTTGGCCGGGGACTCTTGAGTGACGGCTATGATGTGAACAGGCCCTGGCTTGGCAGGCTTGACGTGAGCAGACTCTGGCTTGGCAGGCTTTGAGGGGCTTGACGTGAGCAGACTCTGGCTTGGCAGGCTTGACGGGAGCAGACTCTGGAATGGTGGCCATGACGGAACGAGGCTCTGGAACAGCGGCCATGAAGGGATGAGATCCAAGTTGGGCTGAGTATTCTGTAACGATGGGGACGTGACAAAGTGAGGGTCCATCTGCGGTGCGGCCTTTATTCAGAAGCGTAGTCAGAACAGGCAGGGTAAAAAAAACAGCAATCAACAATATCCAGGGAGAGACAAAAGGATAATCCACAAACAGGCGATGGTCAGGGCAGGCAGCGAACAATCACAAAAACCAGGTAAACAGTCCAAGGAACAAACACATGAAGGCAAGGCAAGGCAAGGCAAGACAGAAAACACGAAAACATACAGGCTATACAATATTCAGCGAAGTGTGTGTGTGTGAGTGCAACTTTTATAGTCCTTCTAATATGAGACAGCTGTGAACTGATGATGAGTGCTGATGAGTCCTGGCAAAGGATTATGGGAAATGGGTGAGGAGCAAAGGTATGGTAGAGGAGCTCATGGGCACTCCTGCTAGAGATCGTGAAAGATACAGTATACAGATGCGCATTCGCTTTCTGACACAATCCACGCGCTTGAGTCTTTCGACAACAGAACAAACAGAAGAGTGAAAGAACAATCACTTTGATGCATTTGGTTTAAACAGCTTGTTTGAGTCTTTATACAGACATCAGAAGGATCCCCGCGTCAGGAACAAGTGGACGTTTTATTTAAATGGAATCCCGGATCTTGTCGAAGGATATATGTTTGCTCGGAGCATTCTGTTTTGTAAACGAGGCGCAGTGTAATGGAGAGTTTGCAAAGAAACATTTGTTGAAAGATGAGGCTTGTAACCGACTATAGTACAGTTACTATGTTGTTGTTTTTGTGTGTAGTTCCTCTACTGTGCTCCAGGGGGCCCTACAGGATTTTATATGGTAAGGGATAAAATGGATGTAGGCAGCAGAGTAAGACATACCTGTTTGGTTAAGCGGAAGCATGGCTTTCACTTACATAACCTTACCGCACATGGAGTTCAGTTTGAGAAACTTAGGTTTTCAGCTCAACCATGTAAGTGTATCAGTTTATTCTGTGCTGTGTAACTTTGCACTTATTTTGTAAATAGTTTATCTAGTGGTGAAATTATGGCTTGTTGTTAAATGCTAATACTAGTTGTTTGTTTGTTTGTTTTGTAGAAGAACTCATTTTGTTTCTGTCTTTCCGTTTTCTTCTTTACTCTGAATGCCTCATCAATGGACTAAGAAATAACTTCATCAAAACTCTGTGCTCATCGTGGGACAAATCAACATCAAAGAATTGCAACGCACTCTATGTTTTGAGGAAACTCGGATTGCTGATTATTTATGCTACTCTTGCTATCGGACTATTGGATTTTGTCATCTCCTATCATCATTGAGGACTTCAGTATTCGGATTCAGTGCATGCTTCGGCTTAGAGACGAGTATTCATTCAACCAGATACGTTTTTTTGTCCTTTATTTTGATAAATGATAAATGCGACGGGTTGTTTTTGCAGTCAAAAATACTTTTTTTGTTTTTCATGCACATGCTGTAATGATTTGTGGATTGCCTTTATTTTATATAAACATTTTGTAATGCACTACTGTGTTATGTG